TAATTGATGAGAATAATTATGTGGTGATTTTTTGATTGGTGACATACAATTTTTTTTTATTTTTTGGATTATTTACAATGTTGTATTATGTTGGGCTTGGGTGGAGGGTGAAAGCGGGGACGGGGATTACAAATTTACCTGCGAACGGGGGATGAGGATGAAAATTATGGGTTGGACAGGAGACAAATGATGTTTTTTAAAGCGGGTAAGGGGATGAAAATTATACCCCCCTCCCTCCCTCGCTTCCACTTCGGTTCACTGTCATCTCTAACCGTCAGTTTGTCGTTTAAAATTAAATGGATAAATTAGACCTACACTTAATCATTTAGACTCCCTCACATTTAGAATATTATTCCTACGCCTCCTGATGTTTGTACACGTGTAACACATAACCTTTTGTCGTTGATTTTTGTTAATATAACTGTTAAAAAATATGATTTCATCATAATAAAAAATTATAATTTTTATAGTAAATTTTATTTTGTGGGCTCGTTAAACTCTAAAATTCAAAATTACTATTTGAATGAACAATATAATGCAGGTATTTATATAATATTCTTTATATCAAATGCAATACATCACTTGAGCAGAATTATTTAAATGCGCAATTGAGGAACATTTTTAGTCATATTTGGATTTTTAAGGAATGTATGTATAATATTTCAAATGTAAGGGATTTAGGTAATTAAGTGACAAGCAAGTGAGAGTCTAGGTGAAATTTATCCGTTTAGTTTTAGACGACAACCTGATGACTGCTAATTTGAAGCGCGCATTGATACAAATTTATATTTTTGAGGGTTTAAATTAAAAATTTTAATTTTTTAGGGTGTAAATTAAAATTTAAACGATCTTTCGAGGTACAATTTTTAACCAAAAAAAAATGATAATCCTTGGGCGTTGCATAACTCGAACCATGCTTCTTGGTTAATCTAATGAGCTTGTAAATTGTAATAGAACAAAATGGCAGCCATCAATTTTGAGCTCCTAATCCCTTTCCGCCTTCTCCTCCCATAAGGCATGGTGATTGACAAAAAAAAAAAAAAAACAAAAAAAGAGGCTATATGAAAACATATCAAGGATATTTTGATTGATTAGCACAAATTGTTATAATTTAAAGATTTGCTCATGAATTGTTTAGAAAAATGGCCTAATCCTCATTGTAACCGTTGTTCGATTCTTCGTGAATAATTTAAATGGAAGTGTTCTAATGATTTGGTACTTCGAAATTATGAACTCAAGTTAATTCGATATGTACAATTTTTTATTAACTATGTGTCTAAGATTTTGTGTATGATAAATATACGAGTGTCTCTGATAAATTAAAACCCGACATATGATAAATAGACGATGCAGAAATTAAAAATTATTGCTTCATTCCACTTTTTGTATTGATGGTCCATTTATCCATAATCAGTCAAATAAAAAGTGCCTCTATTAACCCTTTTAAGACATGGACCACTTGGTATGAAAAATTATTTGTTTTTGATTGAGGATTGACTTAACCATCCATAAGCTTATTGGAAGAACTTGATTGGACCAGAATTTCACTTTTCCAAACCATTACTTATTCTTTCCGTCAATGATGTGGTTAAGCAAATCTCAGGATTTGACTTTTGTGACCCTGTGGGCCTAACCATTACTAATTTTGATCTACCAACACAAAAAGCTACTTTGTGGTTCTAAAGCCCAGTTTTGTTGGTTTTGGCTGAAATGTCCAAGTCTTGGGACACTATTATGCAATGCCTCATATCATCTCAGGTTCATATTAATTTTTATTTTGTTCAAATTATATTCAAATCAATTATAATCGTACATGGTTGGATCTGCAATATATCAAGTTCATATTATGTATAACTGAGTTTGTGTCGATATATTTACTAAATTATAATTATTATATTGTATCTATATCTATATTATTTATAAATGTCAGCATTTACGAAAATCTTTTGATTTATTATTTTATCCTTAATTATCTTAATAAAGTCAAATATACCCACGTTTATACTTTCATCTAATTTTTATTTTTTTACTCATATTTAACTTTCAACTGTTTTGGACTATTTTATAAGGATTTTTATTTTTTTTCGAACTCATTTATTAGTAATATAATTACATACAATTTTTTTATATCTATATGAAATAAAGTCCTATACATCTTAAATTATTATACACATATAGTTATCATATTGAATTTTACGGTCAAATATATGTTATATTTTATTTTTCTATATACAATAATATAATAATATTATACATGATCTAATAAATCTATTTAACAAAATAAAATTTTATAATATAATTAGATGTGCAAATAGTTCAAAGCGTTAGAGATATACCTAAATAATTGACAGATTAAACACTCAAAGACTTATATAATAAATTAAAGATAAATAAATATTATTTAAATTTATTTACGTGCAACGCATGTCGTGTATTGCTAATATATATATAAATATAAATTATAAATATCAGCCTATGCGAAATTTTTTTGATTTACTTTTGATTTACTATTTTATCCCTAATTATTATAGTAAAGTCAATTATACCCACATATATACTTTTATTTAATTTATGCTTTTTATACCTATTTGACATTCAATTTATTTTGAACTCTTTTATAAGGATTTATAAATTTTTTTGAACTCATTTATTAGTAGTATAGTTACTTATAATTCTCTCTATCTATATGAAGAAGTAAAATTCTGTATATGTTAAATTATTATGCACATATAGCTATTAGATTGAATTCTATGGTCCAATATATATTATATTTTATTTTTTGATATATAATAATATTATAAATAATCTAATCAATCTACTTAACAAAATAAAAATTAATAATTGTATAATATAATTAGAAGTGCAGATGCCTTAAAGTTTCGAAGAGATATCTAAACAATGAAAAATTAGGTATTTAAAAACTTACAGAATAAATCAATAGTTAAATTTAGAAATAATTAATTATTTGACAAATAATTAATTATTTAATTTAATTACACATATAATTTATATTTTTTATAAAAATAATATTATTTAAATTTATTTACGTGCAACGCACGACGTGCATTGCTAGTTTACCAAATGGTTAATCAAATCTTAGAATGCTTTAAAAGTAAACTTGTGTAAAATAAATCTAATTATAATTTCATATCGGATAACATGCGCATTGAGAATGGTCAACTTTACACTCCAACATGCATCATTACAATTTTGTAAAATGGTTTGAACAATCATGAGGTAGTAGGTTGGAATTAAAGACATTCACTGCTTATGCCCAATCTAATTGTTTCAGTATCATTGAGTAATAGAAATTAACCTGGGTAATCATCATTTTTAACAATCAAAATCCCTCGTTGATACTAGGGGATTGGGGGTTTATCAAACAGCCCAGACATCAATCCTTTTTTTTTTTAAACAGCAAACAGCAAATTCAATCCTTTTTTTTTTTTTAAATGGAGATTCATCCCCAACAAGCAACTTCAAAGTTATTACTATAAGTCAAACTTTGAAACAGGTCTGACCTAGGAACTTGATTAGTAATGTTTGAAGTCTTCCAAATCGAACTACATAGATGGATTGAAATCAAAATATTTAATCTAACAGAGGTTTGGTTTTATCTAGGTGTTAAAGAGGTGAACCCAATAGACCTCCGGCTCAATCTTGGGGTTTTTTTTTTTTTTTTTTTCTGAGTTCAGGGGAGAGGAGGCAAAAGACAAAAAATAATATTGAGTTGCTTAAGATTTTGTACTTTATCAATTTTGCAGTTTCCATAAATTAGTAGTGAACTTACAATGTGAAATCAATTCCAATTTCCAAAGTATGTTGAAGGATATCTCTAATTGTTAGTGGCCCATTAGTAATCTGGATAGATCCAGAAACCGTGCTTATACAGTTGGGCTCAAGTCATGTAGGTCGAAGTTAGGCAATTTGAAGAAAATCTGAGCCCAACCACATAAATCAGTGTTGAAATTCAATCATTGGGTTTCATTAGCTTTGTGTGAGCTCATAAAAACCTACTAGTAGGATCTAATACATTTAATGTGAAACGATTAAAATTGATCAAAATTGACAATGTTAAGAGGATCCAATACTATCGAATTGGGACTATACTCCCTAAATAGCAATGGATCAAGGATCTAAGACCCATATTTTTTGTAACATTGTTATTCCATTTCTTCAAATAGTATATCATCTGTTATAAAATGTTTAACCACTTTTAGTAGCAAGCAATTGTTTAAAAGGAGATCATATGAGTGACTAAGTCGATATGGAACCTTAATTTCTTTCATATTGTTCGTAACCATTACAGATCAGGACATAATAATACTAAAACACATTCATATTACGTTTTCACTCTGTCGAGTTGTGATTGTATCTTAGTCCATGTAAGTTGTCATCCTTCCACAATAGGTCATGGCCATTTGGTAAGGATTAAGGGAATGATATGGGATGTGTATCATAGAATTTCTCTTTTTAAAATGTGGCCCAAAAGATTAATAGTAACAAGTGATTTGAAACAGCGAAGGTCAACTAACTTGTATCACATGGTATAAACATGCAATTGTTATGTTAAAAAAACAACCTAAGTTGTTAGACCGATACTTCTTATTACTGCACATTGGACTCTTTTTTACAAGTAAAAATCGAATTAGAATGAGGAAGAAAAATGTGATCTAAGTCCATTATTCCTTGCATTATAGGAAAGGCAGAGCAATTTCTTTTAAGAATGCAATTGGTTCCATCTTTCTTTCATTAGTTAACCTCCCTTTTCTAAAAAGGATTGTAGTAATTCTGATTTTATACTACTTGGAATGATTCTCTCATATTGAGAAATTCTATCTAGTGGCATTAAATCACAAAATCTATTGACAGCTGCATAAATGACTATAATTTGTTTTCCATTTGAAAGTGGTGCACATTGTGGTTGTTTCGGTACTTCTGTAAACTGTGCACCTCTATTGAGTAATGCGCTGAGTTGCAGCATCAAGGTCTGATCCAAATTAAGCAAAGGCAGCCGCTTTGCAATATTTTGCCAATTTTAGTTTTGAACTACCGCAAACTTGTTTCATAGCTTTCAATTGAGCGGCAGACCCAACGTAATTGACAGATATGCAGACGTTAATAGCAGGTCTAATTGCGCGATCAACGAACTCAGTTTCTAAACAGATTTGTTCATCAGTAATGGAGATCACATTGGTGGAAATATAGGCCGATACGTCTCCAGCTTGTGTTTCAATGACAAGTAAGGCGGTCAAACTACCTGTACTTGTTTGATCCGATCGTTTAGCTGCTCTTTCTAAGAGACAGAGGAAACTTGATCACAAGTGAGCATAACTTTTTTCCTACACTCTTTATGGCAGAGGCAAATAAAAATTATTTTTATTACATAATCTTGGCCAAGGGTGTAGATACCAACCATTGAGTACCTCACTAGTCATGTGTCAGTGATGTGAATTCTAGTTTGAGGGTTCAGGTATTGGTACCACCACCAAAGAAAAAATAACTAAGGGTTTAGATGAGTCAAGTCGATCAAGCCTTTGGTCACTCGAGCATTTTGAAATTTAATCAAGTTTTAGATAAAATTGCAACTTGATCTATATATTCTTTGAACCAATGTCAAACAAACCTTAGTTGAGCCAATCTCGAAGAGATTTTTTTTCCCTTCATTTTTGGGGGTGATGAAAGGCATATCATAACTTGCTAATTAAATATTACATAAGTCTTTGGTACATAACACCTGTAATATCAGCCTTAAGTTGGTTCATAATAAAGTCCATAGGAAACGTAAGATTTTCATGGGCATGAATTCCTTCTTTGCTAATTTATTTGTAAATACTGTTACTTAGACATAATTTATTGACTTAATTCATTACAACCATTAGATTAGTAATAAGTTTCAATATTAAATGTGATTTATTGTCAATTCAAAACTTCGTTTATAGTAGATTAAGTCAACAATAAATGCTAATAACTTACATACAAATAGCATTATTCATATATTCACACTGAGGTTTGTTCTCTCGCCTCCTGTTTGACTTGTACCTCTTAGAAAACCTTCATAAGCCATCTGCAATCATTAAATACTTGGATGTGAATGTGATATGTTGTGTGGGGGTTGTTATGGATGCCCACCATCAATTGGGCATCCAGATTTATCTCTAGTTTCTAAGAACCCACTTGAGGGGGCTAATTGTAGGTCCTGTCTGGGAGCTCATACTTCTGCTGCGAGGCTGAAGAGGTACCCTTGCTTGCCTAGACTCCAAATAACAAATGCCCCATACAATGCCTACATAAATAACTTGCCTCCTTTTCTTGGGTTGCACCATTCATATTTTGCTTAAACCATCCTTGTAAATTGCTCAGATTTCAAGGTGCTGGTGTACCGTGGCGTCAAATAAACGAATCAATATGAAATCCGTCTAAAAATAATATAAGCATTATAAACACTGCTTATACACAAAACAATATGTCATTAATCTAGTTATACACAACGTGACATTAGTGAACCTCTTAACATTTTACACAAAAATTTATGTAGAAATGTCAAATAAACTACAAAACAGGTCCAAACAAGGCCAATTCTATGTTGTTTGGTTTCTTTCTTTGGTTTGTGTTTCTTTGTTTTTACTTGTTTTGTTTTGCCTTCCCAAAACCCCATAAGCTTGAAACTTAGATAAAAGCATTGTAGTGGCATCCATTTTATCCTTTTCAGCACTCGTTACAGCCATAAGAATAAAAATTTGGGTGACAATTATCAATATCATAGGAGTTGCCTATCTAATTGATGGGAAATGTCACTTTCCTGACCATTCTCTTAGTGGCGAGGGAATAGTACGTATATTAGACTTGTCCATTAGCAGATTGGACAAAAACAATCTAAAGATAGGGCACTCATGGTCTTTGACTTTCCTGTTTCATGTCTATTACAACTTTACCAGGCTTAGTAAGGCACGCGTCCCTTATATAAGAAATTGTTCTATTCAAAAAGCCATCTATAGGCTAAGGATGGTACGAAGTTTGATGAATTAATCTTGCAAGATTCATATAAGTTAGTGCATGACATTATCGCTTTAATCGACATATTTTTGACAATAATTATTTATTTATTTATTTTCAATTTTGATTCAAAACCGTGCCTTTTATATGGTATAAACAATACTGCTGAAAGTTAATTTGAGAACCGATATATTGTGTCTATTGAGTCAACAATAGATTCCACTGTTGAATTAGACCTTATTATCAATCCAATAACCACGTTGTATTAAATTAGACTTTTGATTGATCATATTTTACATCAATGGGGAGAACCCCACATTACATGAGTGTATCATAATAAGACCCAAGATTTATCTTTTCAGGACAATACAAATCTGACAACCTTGTTGATCGATCAATTGGAGTCAAGCGTAATTTTTAATACTTTTAAATACACATATCTCAAAAATGTATTAACCCCAAGAGCATGACCTTTCAACGGTAAGTAACTCTCCACTTTTTCTATAAAGATGAATAAATACCCAAAGGTAGGGAGGCCTTAAGTATGAACACCTCGGCTCCGTACTCCACACACACACTTTTGTTCATTTTTTAAGTTTTATATACTAGTCTAATCATGTATTAATAGCAATACTAACTTAGCTTTCCCTGACTCAACGCTGGGGTTCTCTTTCACCTCTCTCTAATTTTGTAACTCACCGACTGAATGACATTCGAATTTTAAGGGTGCACCTTTAACATGTCAGTAATTGTGCAAATTTTTGCTCGCATAATTTGGTGCTGTCCATGAGGAACGAAGCATGCGTGTCCCCTAAGTCTGCATTTCATCCAGCTCGTGAGCCCTGCCCAAGTTTAATACCACGGATGTATCTCGTTCCTGCACATCTGTCCAAACTTTAGAAGTTCGGCCTTTTTTGGAGTCGAGTTATAGCGCTCGGTCTTTCTTTCAAATCCATACAGATACAAAATATCACATATTGTTGTAAGGTCCCACCATGGAAGTCTTCACGTGAACCTTACCAAAATCCTTATTCATTCTTGAAGTTTGAGTATTCTATTATGATCAAGTATCCTATAGAAAATGGCTTTTTCTTCTATGTTATACAAAAGTGAGGTTTTTCTACTAGTTTGTCGCCTATACCAAAGCAGCAAGTGTATGCCCAAAATCTCTTTATCGCCCAGGCCGTGAGCCTTGTCCAAAACTGGAGCCAGTTATGTATATGAGTAATCCTATGTTTATATTGTTCTCTTGATACTCACACCGTTCGGTGTTTGATATTTACTCAATGTTGTAAGAACATCTCTCTTATTTATCATGGAGTTCGGCCTCTCTCTCTGTCTCGTCTGTTTAAGTCCATTTCTTGTTAAAACTGAGCGTGCTCGTCATCGACAGCTATCAGAAAAATTGTAAACCAAAGAAGAGATGCTCAAGCAGCCTGAGCATCCGCTTATCAAATATCGGCCACACCATAGAGGACAATTGGCAGCGCTGTCAAACCGACGGAGATGGAGATCATAATGTCTCCATTTAGATATATCGGCATTGAGTGAGCATAGGAGCTGATCTGATATCACCCATTTTAATTGTTTATTGAGCTCGGGGAGTTTCTATTTTCTATGGATGGGTTTTGACAAACAATGATAGACGATTAGTTTCGCCGCGCACATGACAGCCGAGATCTAATACTCCAACTATTTGGTCCGTCTTTCGGCGTCAAACATTTGCTTATTCATCATGGTATACGGTCGGGCTCGTATATCNCTTGTCCCGCCCCCCCCCCCCCCCCCCCCCCCCTCATGTCATCTTATGTGCATGAAACAAATAGCATACAAGTCTCTTGAAATGCAAGAGTAATACTAGATAATTTAAATTAGACTTAAAAACTAGAGTTGATAATCTCAACTATTGAATAGGTAGTGGGTCCCAATAAATGCTGGAACCCACAGTGAAATCAATAGTTGAAATTGAAATTATCAAATTTAATTTTTAAATGCATGTAGCATTGCTCAAAATGCAAATGTACTAGTTTTAGTCAAAGACAAGTCTCTTGACATAGCTCTTTTTATGAGGGCCAAGTGTTAGAGTTAAACTATCACAAATAGCAAACATCATGGAATTTTACTTGCTATGACTAACAGGAAGCAAAATTGTTTGTGCTCAAGTGTTACAGAGCTGATTTCCGAGTGCTGAACTCGACTACTGTCTCGTTCTCGTTGTTGTCGGGGGTATCCATGGTGCTCGGCAGTTCACTCTACCATTGATGCCGATTTCGTAAATCTCGTAGTATCTCTCTACTATATGGGTGGAGAGAAGTGGGTCAGTTGGGGACTTGAGGAAATGATACTTGACTTAGATTCAAAAGAGAGTTAACAGTCGGAGGATCGCTTGAACTTCTATTTGGTCCCAAGGAAGGGCATCATGTGTCAAGATTTAAGCTAAATCCGCAATCTCTGTGCTTCTAGCATGAGTGAAATGCAAACCCAGAAAAAGAATCTAGCTCGAGCTCACTTCTCGGATACCGCTATAAGCCACTTCAGAGGCCGAAGGGTGGTCTGGCTATCACTATAAGATTGGCTCCACATATAATATCTCCAATAACTCAAAGAACCCGTCAATGGTAAGCACTGTCAAAAGCCATTCTGATAAGGCATGAAGCTTTTCTTCGGCATTTGTACTGAAATAAATCGGGACCGATCACTTCGTCAGTCTATCTTCACTTCGGGCTCGCCAACATTGGAAGTCTCAAAATACGACGCCTGCTCCATGTCCCCGAGGAAACAAAAGTGTTCGGTATCACTTAGATGGTGGTCGGAGCCATTGTAGCATTAACTGGCATCAATGCCAATAAAACCCAGTAGCATCATGGATGGTCGGCGTACCAATTCGGAGCTAATTGGAAACCAGCACATCCTGAGTCTAAACTCGTCCGAGAGCTCAGTTCGTGGTACCTAACTGCTCGGCATCATCAAGACATCTCGACCGTGAAAGTACCCGTATTTTGGCATGGCTTTAGGGAATTGTTCACAGTGGGGGGCATATCTCAAAAAGACACGTTCTCAGACAAAGGCCTCTTAGGCAGTCAGCATCACCTATGATCGAGAGAAGCAAAATCATTTCTAAAACTCAAGCAGTCTCTACAAGTGCTCGGCTTCACAGCAAACAGAGGTCAATCACCTGTGAATGCAAGTGATCGTTCCACCACTCAAAACAGTCGAGAAGTCATTTTGTGGTCCCTTCTTGCCGATTATCACCCTTTTCGACAAAGAAAAACAAAAACAGTGCCCAATTTTCAAGGGTATTCTCATTTGGGCATTTCATCAAACACCAAGAGTGCCCACGCTGTGGTTGCCACTCAGTCTCAGTGTAGAACTTATCACAGTAGTCGGTAGACTAACCAGACATGTTTGGCCCATCATCTATAGATGGTCGACGTCGTCCATGATTCTGTGGATGTTACCTCTTCCCATGGAGAATCGGCATTAGAATCAGAAGTTATAGGTGGTCAGCATACCCATTTCTAGCTCACTAGAGACTAGAATCTCCACTTCAAATTCCTCGAAATAAGGAAAAAGCTGGGTGATTAATTATTGGACTTCATTCTCAGCCCCTTTGGACGTTGCAATTACATCATGTGAGGCTTTCAAGAATCAGGAAGGGTATAGCTCTACTTGAGGGAAACTATAGCTCACAATCTTCTATGGTGAAAAGTGATCCAAGCTTTCTAAGCATTCTCACATGGCAACTAGAATGCCCAATGGGAAGAAGTCCAAACTAATCAAAAACATTGGATCAGACCTCCAGCACACAGATCGTGAGGCATAAATGGGTAAGTCTTTGCATGTCCAAAGCACCAAAAGCCTCATTTTATTAGGCACTTGATGGGTTTCGAGCTCGGAACGTGGGTAAGCCTTTGTATAGCCAAAGTATCAAAAGTCTTAATGTAAGCATAAAATCTCTCAAGAATAGGTTCAAGAACTTGGACTTGGGAGTACTAGTTGTTTAGGGAGGTGACATAAGACTTGGGGTTAAACCTCGGACACGGGTAAGCCTTTGCATGGTCAAAGCACCAA